ACATTGGTGCACCGAGGACCTATTCGCACAAATCTACAACCACAGCTCCAAGGTAACTCCCCACAGCCGCCGATAGAACCAACTTACGAATCTCTTCCACTTGCCTCTTCAAACGAAATGGGAAGTACTCCATTATCAGTGCATTTTCATTTTCTAAGATCGTACTCATAAGGTTTGAGCAATGAAAAGCGAATTATGCAAAGGTAAGTTACCCTGGAGAAGCTCAAAGGGTAAGATCCACCAAGGGTTAGCAATCCAGGAAATGTATAGGAATCGAAGGACATTTCCAAGAAGTCCGCAATATAGAACTCGAGTGTGACCTAAAAACAAGAGGATGAGGGAGCAAACAAAGAAAGTGGAAAACGAGAATGAGTAAGCCAGTGGTGAGACGCATAAATACTTGGGGGTAAGGGAACAAATAGGCAGACATCAGCTAAATAAAAATGTTTAATTTGCATGCATAGGACCACTTATAATGTAGACGTTTCTGCAAGTTAGTAATAATGAAAGCGGGGTAAAAAAATTTTTATGTCTACTCTTTATAAGGAATTAAGCTAACCAAGCCTGTACAATATGGTATATAGCATTATAAAAGATAATATTTATTTCGTTCAGGCGTTATGCCGATTCGTCAACCTATTTGAATATCAGTGCAGTTGTTTGATACAGTTTGCAATAGACGGAGTGACTGAAGCCCTGCAGTTAATCCCGATTTGGCAGAATTGTTAAATCTTAATGATACTGTACAAGCGTAGCTCTCTATTGTAATGCCTTGAAGTAATGACCGAATGTTTCGTATCCTGAATTACCTACATATACGATCAATCATAAAATTACTGAGATTTACATGAATAAATTATATATCAATCAATGTACATGTAAAGAGTGAATATTGCCAGAGGCAAGGCCTAGAATGTGATCTTTTGAACTCACCAATACGGTCTATGACTGTTTTGCTAAAGTAATAGGCTAGGATCTCGGAGATATGATTGATGACTGATGCGATGCCAAAGAGTGTTGGCGAGCCGCCCAACTCTTGCATGTGCCAAAAAAGGAAAGAAAACACCTGTCCCATGCCCAGTCCCATAAACCAGGCAACAAAGAGAAAGGAGGCTAGGCGAGGCTTCGAAAATTGATGCAGCACTTGAAACCATTTAGTTATCTGCAGGAAAGGTATGGATAAGAAAAAGCGACAAAGTCTAAATTTTTCAGGTTTAAAATAAAAATATTATAACAACAACAAGGTGCATCTATTGAGGCGGTAATGTGTAAAATCGTGAGTGTGTAGAAGACCAATAAAGTTCAATTACAGAGGAATATCCTGGCTTGGAAGCGAATAATTTATTTGTCTATGCTCATTTTATCCCCATCTTCAAGTGACAACTAACATCTTGTCGGGCTTTCAATGAAAATCCACTGAATAGTTTTACTGCACACAA